TCTATTTTGTTCAGCGACAGTGTACAAATGTGCGCTGGTGTCGGTGACGATCACGGTGACCAGCTACACCAGAACGGACATATTTCGCATCTAACTCAACCCCATGCAACAAAAATTGATACTATGTGTTCATTATGGTCCATTCTTCCTCGACGAACAAGTACATAAGTGACAATTTAGTCAAAGATGAGAAAACTGCAGAAGAAATTTGCCTTATTTACACGTATCAGCAATGCAAGCTGCCATGCAACTTTCCCTTCTGACGTAACAAGGGGAATTTCTATATGCAAATGAGAAGCTAATGAGGAGCCTCGTTTTAAAATACACAAAAATAAAGTTGCCGTAGACTGAGTTTAAAACACATTTTTTCACTTAAAAAAAATAATTCGTGCTTAGAAACATAAAAATTAATAATAATTATGTATCAAATGATAATTTTAGGCTTGAAAATAGCAGCCATTTCACAGGCACTTTAACACTTGTTTTCATTACTGTGCATTGGCAGAAACGATGACCTTATACTTGAATTGCCAAGTCCATGTGAATATGAATTATTCATTTGTCTCTCGCATCGTAACTTAAAAAGGTGTGATTTTTATTTAAATAATAATATTTATGATCAACCAAATTTCCGGGAGAGGCTAAAAAAAAAACACAAAAAAAAATAGATTTTTTAATTTTCCCAGCTGTGGTGTGAATAGTCACCACTAAGCAAGGTCATAGGATTGACTTCAGATATTACACATGGCGAGACTGTGCGTAAGGTTCAATTAATAATGCTATCAGAACAATCATTGGACATTGTATTGTTAGTGTTTGAAGATGCTTGACATGTTAAGTAATACATGCACTGCAATCAATACAGCTACCCATCACAAAATCAATATCTGATGTGAAGCATTTTCCACTAAGATTAGACTGAGATGGTTGCATGGTGAATTTTATTCAAATAATCACATCCAATGATTCTGAAAAATTGCCTAAGAAATCTAAATCTTTGCTTTAGATTTATCTTTTTTAAATTTAATTCCTGTACAATTTCTGTTAATGTCTTCCATGTTGAAAGTCATCATGATATTTTCCAAAAAGCATTTACCTATTTAGGTATGATCACATGATGTCAATAAAAATCATACTTCACAGATCTTGAGTAGGTTTATCGATGAAAGGGGCGATTTACATAAGAGAAATAAGTAAGACAGCATACTGATTTATTCTTTGACAAAATCGGTAGGTGATGTGATCTGTCGTCAGATCGGTCGCTGCTATGCGATCCCTGGTCTACAAGCTGTTATTGGGTCGCCAATACACACCCTTCCATACTTCTTTAAACATCACTTCAAATACATATTTCCTTTTCTGATACAATAGACAATTACTTTCATGTCTTTACAAGCATTGAATCTACACTTTTTAAATCAGTCTAAACAATGAGAACTACATTGTACAATATGATGCCGTGACTAGGATTGCCCACAGATTAGTGTATAGTGCCAGTCGGGAAAAAATAGGATATAGAAAAACAATAGTAGTTGTATAAATACATGTTTTTAGATTTTTAAACATAGTGTGCAGCAATCATACACAATTATTAATTTGCTCTATTAGAAGCCCTAGATGAATCTTGTCATTTATGTAAGTGTATGTACTACTAATAGAGCTAATATGGTACATATAATATTCAGCATGTCCAGACTTACATCTCTGTCAATATCATCCTCTTCGTCATCCCAGTCAGAGTTTGTTCCTCTACTAGAACTGATAACGTAGGCACCAGAACGCTCGCTTTCGGCATCCGAGAAATTGGATTTCGCAGCAGACCCTTTCTCATTCAACTGCAATGGCGGTACATGTTTCGTTTTCTTGGATGCTGACCTTGCTAAAGTCGGTTTGAGAGGAATCGAAGACGACTGCACTTTACCAGACCTCTTTGAATCATCATCAGGCCATTCTGGAGGTTGTGTCGTGGACGGAGTTGTCGGCTCTACGAAATAACAAATCAAACAATAGCATCAATCAACATATTTAGATTATGGTACATACACTTTAAATTAGAGAATATGATGGTTATACAGTGGTCAAGACAACTCACCTGACAATGGACCCACCCTTTTTCTGGCTTTGGGTGAGGTATCTTTAGCAGGGTCAGGCCACGAGCTAGCAAGACTCATTCTCTGGGATGTGTATTCATCTTCTTTAGAAGAGCCAAATGATGGGAAATAGCGACTGTCTTCATCTTGACGGCTAGTACGTTTCTTGCTGTTGGGCAGAACTTCTGGCCCGCCTGGAAATAACAGCAAATCAGTCAGAATTATAGCTTACAATCTATAATCATCACAACATTAATATATCTTCGAGTGAGTACTAGTAATTAACAAGAGAACTAAACACACTGCAGAATATAAGTGAGAGAACTGATTTATTATTATTGAACAAAGTCTGGACTACTGTACAGTTTTATGCACACACACACACAGATGGGCTACAGACTAAAACAAGTATTAACTGCTGACAATGCGCTGTCAGCCTTATATCATGTGTATTAACATTTACAGAACTTATTGTACATTTGTTGAACATAACAAGAATAAATTGTATTATCAAGAATATCACAAATCTAGGGTACTGTCTTAGAGAGATGAAGCTTTATCAAAAAACAGACTTTATCTGGTTAACATCCAAGTGTGTTGAAGGGTGGTTGGTGGTGGTGTGTGGGTGGGTGTGTGGGTGGGGGTTGGGTGTCTCATCCTATTTTGTGTTACTGTGTACATGTAAAAAGTAATTTTATCAGTGTGAATGTTTATTATTACTGACAATGACGGCTGTAGATAGCCACAGGTAGTAAAAATTTTATATTAATGCATGGTGATACCTTTTGTAACATTCTATACTCATAACACGTTGCAGCCATAGTCAAATATGAAATCATCCAGATATTGATTATTAATGTTTTGAATACCAAATTCTAATTTTGAAAACAAAATGCATTTGCATATTTTTGTCCATATTTTTTTTAAAAGTTCTGATCAAAATGGATATTGACTACATGTTTGTAAAATTTGAAAAAAAAAATGATATGAGTAAGCTGACTTCAGCACAAATGAATTGTAGCGTTTCGTGTTCAGGTGAGACTATGCATCATAGGATACTTTGCACTAGTTTGCATTCACTGTCAATAGATTTATAAAAAAAACACATTAGTATAATAATAACATTATTCTACTATGGAGGTAAAAAAAAAAACAAGACAGTGAGATCAATTAGTAATGTAAACTGCAATGATGACGACAGTACTTGTCTGCAAAATGAAAGCTCCTTTGTCCATCCATGCTATGTTTGCTGTACGTGAGCATGCAAGGAAAAAAATGGAGTAAAAAGAATATATTATATGTCGGATACAACCTTGTGGGAAGGCAATACTACAAATACCGTATGTGTTCTATTACAAAATGTATCTCCAAGTGTTAAAACCATTTAAAACTGTTTTGTGAATTATTTTGACAGCATAATTATCTATGTACATACATTATTAATGCATCAAATATGTCAAATTTATGATTGTATTTTTTTACATTCATAATAAAGTATAATTCAGCATTCTTATCCACAATCACACTAATGTATAATCACACTTGATAAGTTTCTCTCTCAGCTTGATGGCAAGACTAGCCAGAATCACAGCTGTAATAATGTAGAATTTCAACTGAAAATCAATTATAGATTGCCTGGAAACGTATTAGACTGGCTCATGACGTCAAGAATCGAGTATAAATAATATCAAGGGATTATACATGATTATTAGTTTGAACTCCGCAGATAATAGCAGTATCTTGAACAGAGATCACATCTATTTTAGTAACAATCACTATTGCACTGCAGACTCCCAAAAGATATCTGAGATGATGTTGTGATCACATCTTGACATAAACACTTATTATACTCATTATAACCCTTTGAGAGCCTTAATTTTTCCGCAAAGCATATTTACCATATTTTTTCCTGCTTTTTAGGTATTTTTGTGAATGGTGATAAAGTTTAAATAGTTAATAACTGTGATAAGAAGAATAACACCTCTTCCCAATCTGAAATTATGATTAAATTGGAAGTGCACTATCAAGGTTTAGAAGTGCAAGCGGGAAGAGTTCCCCAGGACATTAACTTGTGTACCCAACTGAGAGAAAAGAAAGGGAATAGGGTAGGTTTCACTCATGACAAACAAAAATAAATCACAGCAACATAAATGGCAAAATTACCAAAATATTTGTTGAATGCTGCTCCATTGGTGAGTTTCCATGGCGTCAAATCTTTAAAGGAAATAAGAAGAAAAAAAAGAGGGCGAATAAAAGGGAAATCTGTTAAACATGCGTTATAGGTAACATTTCATGCAAGTATAGAATGAAATTTCAAGCAACATGTGACAATGCTTCTCCAAAGACTCACCTCTGTCGGTAACAGGTGCACTATGGCTACCAGACGAGTCTGTAGTTGGCACAGTGGCACCAGGATGTGTATTGCTCAATGAAGCCCGCTCTCTTTCTTTCTTCAGTTTGTTCAAATAAATTAAATGATAAGATCCACCAGCTCCAGGTCCTATTTCACACAAGTAATATTATTATTCACTTTTTATGTAATCCAATGGTTTATTTATAATAGTTCACTGCTTATTCAGCCAGGGAACAGAAACATAGAAAATGAATCCCAGTATGTAGTAGAAGTAATATAAGCATTATATTTCAAACAGGAAGAGGTACAACTAGAACTGTCAAAAAAAGTCCATTAATTACACATCAGCAAAAACTGAAAATTATTCAGTTTTGCCATAAGCCACTAAATTCCTGGTACAGTAATTTTTCAGGATGTACACAAGTCTTGATGAGAAAGAAATAAAGCCACTACACTTGAAAAAGCTGATGTTTGCGTCATTGGTCATGAAGTACATTCAATAGACTAAATAACTATTCATCACAGTCACTACTCCTTTTCTTAAACGTGATTGCAGATTATTAAAATAAGAGTAAGAGAACAGGCTACAATAGGTGTCCACCCTGTAGAGACTGTTTGCAATATGTGCTCAGTGAACTGAAGACGTACTTGGCGAACGATACGATTCACTCAACCACTTGGAGTACGTACACAATAGATTGCCCACTAATGAATTAGAAAACGAGAACAGTAGATAAACTCGTACAACATCAATTATTTAAAAATATGGGGATTATTTTTAGCTTGTGGTTTATTCAATAATCATCAAATGAGATAGGAAGTGGCGCCGCAATTTTTAACAAAATATCGATGCTGCTTCATTAAAGTATTAAAATTCAACATAGGTAATAAGACACACAACATATACCAGTTTACAGTTTAAGGCAAGTTACCTGAATCAGGCGAATGGTCCCTGGAACCACCGGAACCTTTTATAAGTCTGTGGGACTTGGTAATATCGTTGTTATCCTCCAGGTCATTCCATGTATTCCGTGCTTTCAGTGGCGGTTTGTCATGGGACTGACGTTTCTGATGAATGCAATAAGATATGAGAAATATATTATTGATAAATCATTTTCTAATTTAGTTGCACTTGCACACAAACAGAATTTGATTTCATCCTCAGTTAATTGTTTATTGTATAGAAAAGCTTTCAGCACTATTAAAACACATACATGTACATGTGTATGTAGTTACCATGATCAACAAAATGAAGAGAAAACAAGCAGAGAATTGAAGATATCATCACAAAATGAACAAATCTGAGAAAAGTCTACATGTAGAATCTATATACGTAATATCAAAGCAATTGAACTATTGGTTTTTAACAAGAACTCGAAAATATCACTTTTTACCAAAAATTACAAAAATATTCACCAAAATTAGAGAATTGAAGACATCATCACAAAATGAACAAATCTGAGAGAGGTACACATGTAGTACCTATATATGTAATATCAAAGCAATTGGACTTGCGGTTTTTAACAAGAAGTCAAAAATATCATTTTTTTTACCAAAAATGACAAAAATATTCACCAAAATTAGCGAATTGAAGATATCATTACAAAATGAACAAATGTGAGAGAGGTCCACATATAGTACCTATATATTTAATATCAAAGCAATTGGACTTGCGGTTTTTAACAAGAAGTTGAAAATATCACTTTTTACCAAAAATGACTAAAATAATCACCAAAAGTAGAGAATTAAAGATATCATCACGAAATGAACAAACCTGAGAGAGGTCCACATGTAGTACTAATATATATAATATCAAAGCAATTGGACTTGCAGTTTTTAACAAGAACTCGAAAATATCACTTTTTACCAAAAATATTCACCAAAATTAGAGAATTGAAGATATCATCATGAAACGAACAAATCTGAGAGAGGTCTACCCAAGGTACATATACACGAAGTATCAAAGCATTCAGGCTTGTAGTTTTCAAGAAGAAGTCGAAAAAGTAAAACATTGACACGGACAGTCACTCATATGATAAGCTCAGCTCGACAAAGTCGACAGCGGAGCTAAAAAACAAGATTATAACTTTATTAGTTACATCATCAATGACAATTTTAATTAAACATTAAAAAAAAAAA